GATTAAGAAGTACAGAAAAATAAGGAACAAGCAGTGATCAAAGTAGAGAAAAGAAATAAAAAGGATTCAAAACTGAAAAGAATAGAAAGTCTGAAAAGAATAGAAAGAGTGAAAAAGAAATAAGTAAGAACTTGGTGCCTGATTACACCTAAAAGAGCAGAAATGAGTTACTTTTAATTATGTGAAAGGGCTAGGATAGGGCATCAGTGAAGGGAAGAGTTTGTACAGGGAACCACGGGCCAATTTCCAGGTTGTCCGAGACTCAGAGCAGTAACTCTTGCCTATTTGATCAAGTTAAGTGTTTGCTACAGGACTTACGTACTCTGAACTCACATCAGCAGTGTCTCTCTCTCCCTTTTGCACAGCTTCATGTGGAATACTCCTGCAAAGAATCTTCGTTTTCCGCTTTCGAATTTGCTGGTTTGGGTTAGCATTTCTTTGTGCTTCCAATCTGACCTTTGGTCTTCTATTAGCCTGTACAATTAACTAAAAAACAACAGCAAAACAACCAAGCACCACTAACAAGACTTCTTAGAAAGAAGCCCCCTTGTCTTTTTACATCCACTTCTATGTTCCTGCATGTTATCCCTTGTCATGTTGCATCTCAGAAGCTCTTGTTAGCACCTGCAGGCAGAGCTGGCCATCATTCAGTGTTACACATTACACATGTATTGCACAGCACAGCCAATGCATGGTACGAGTCTTTGATACTGTGGCCAAGGAGGGAAAGCCTGTGTTACTCCATTATCTGACTTCTCTTTGGCTTCACCTGAGCTTCTCTCTGTTCAGAAGGCAGCAACAATTGCTGCTTCTCCTGCCCACCATGTTTATTTTCTCCAGTTTTTATGTGGAGGTCAGGGAACTCCCAGGCACTACCAGTTTGCCTGTTTTCTCTCTGCTTTTGACCTCTGCCCATTAAACTCGTACTGTAGTGCTTAACTTTAAACAGATGGTTGTGATTATAAGTATTCACATGATAATAATCAAATATGTGTTTAAAGTGCCTTACTGGTTTAATTTTGAAGAGAAAAACATTCTCACTATGTATCTCCTTTGAATCTATCATGGAAAGGGTTCTTAGTCTTAATCGGAGCTTCTAGTTGCTAACGGACAGTACATTGCCATTGAGATATATATATATATTTATATTGACTGTAGTGGTTCCCCAGAACCCAACTGCGAGTGGACTCTCACAACAAGTGCTAAACAAAATTTTCACATTGCCTGTCCCAAACACCTTGCAGCCTGTGCAAACAAGGCAAACCTGGCAAGTAAGATAAAGAGCCTTAAAATGGTAGGACAGAGACCATCGTATCAAACATGATGTGAATTTCACAGGGATTGATGCATATTAGTGGTGGAGATGCTGTTATGCCTAAATCATCTCACGAAAGGAAAGATTGCCCTGTGGCTCAGGCAAACCATGAAGATTAGTTTCTGTTCCTTGTTTTGAGTCCCCGGACACACAGGGAAGCTGGGACATTTCTCATGGTGACGTCTGTCATTCGTCCCCTGAGGAATGAGTCACAAAAGTTGAGATGACAGTTTTTGTCTTGACATATACCAGTGTGCTAAATAAAAAAAATACCCGTCAGAAGGAAAATATATAATCTGCAGTAGGAGAAGTTTTGAGAAAATTACTTATTTATTGATGATGTCTCTCCTCTCTCCTGCCCCCCCCCCCTTTTTTTTTGTTTGTTTTTACAGCAGTTGTATGCTGCCCAACTTGCTGCAATGCAAGTGTCTCCGGGAGGCAAGATACCTGGCATACCCCAGGGTAACCTTGGTGCTGCTGTATCCCCTACCAGCATCCACACAGACAAGAGCACAAACAGCCCTCCACCCAAAAGCAAGGTACTGTACCAGGCCCTGCAGCATTACGTTTCTGACAATCTGGGCATGGGTGGGTTTTTTTCTGAAGGGTATCTGTGTGCCTCTCAGTTGCAGGCAGCTTTGTTCTCAGGATGGCTTCCTGAAATAAGAGGATATTCGTAGTGCTGTTTTTCCAGTGGGAGGATCCCAGCACAGTAACACCAACCAACTGTTCATACACAACGTCAGTAACAGATACCACCTCAGCTGAGATCCCGTAGGTTCCCTTGCAGTGTCCTAGCTATCACACTGCTGTTTCTTCCATCTTCAGTAGCAAGCAGCAGGCTGAGGTGACCAGCTCCTATTCTGGCGCACAACTGTCATTTCTTTTCAGAATGCTAAGCCAGAGTCAAGGTTAGCAGTGTGTCAACAAAGGATGGAAAGTGGTGGAGCATCTCATCTGTGGCCAGACCCTGTGCTGGGGTTCAGTGGGTGTTTGTGGACAAACAAGTTTCCAAAGCAATGTCTGTTGTATCATAGAACAGGGCTGGAATCTATCCATCAAGCGACAGGCTCTGATGAGTAATCTTGGTCATAGCTGGGCAATTAGGTCTGTACTCATTTAAGAGGTCAAGCTAGCAGCTGTATAACACCACCAGCATGTGACTAGCTATACCTAGAAAAAAGACACAGGGTACGTCCAGTGGAAGAAGATGAGCTCAGCATATGCCACAGCTGAGCAAAAGGAATGGGTCAAAATTGAATGGCACATCTTAGGTATTGCAAAACAACTAGGAAGATTCTAGCTAAGGAATGCAGGGAAAAAGCAGTCCCATTTTAGTGACAGCAAGAGCTTGACAGAAATGTGCCCTTTCTTTTTGTTAGTGTCCTCTAGCATGCTGCCCATGTCCTTTATCATGTCAAAAAAGATTCCTTGAATTGACAGTAGCATCTTGTTTTTACCCTAACAGTGAAACAGCACAGATTAAAAATAACCAGACAAATAAATAATACCATTGTCAGCTCAGTGAGACACATGTTCAAAGAATAAAATAGCTGGTGTGGAACCAGTAGCTGTTGTGTTAATGAATCAAGTTCAGGGTCTACATTTTCTTTCTTCTCTCCTCAGTGTAGACTTTCTGACTTCCCCAAGTTTATCCTTGGCTTGGCCTCTTCTTTTATATACTACAGAGCAAGGAAACACAAAGCCGTGCAGTGCTCAGTGATAGTTTGGTGGGGGTTTTTTCCAAAAAGTTATGTCTATGGTTAACAAGAGATTTTTGTGCATTTTACAAGGGGCTTTTTGTGTGTGGCTAGCGGCTTGCAAGATCCACGACACTTAAAATCCCGGTGTTGTTTTTGGATCTCCTGTGCACAAGCAGAATGTCTGATGAGATCTAAGGGGACACAGTGTTTATTTTGTGGCAATTGTGGAATTAGAAGGCCTGCCATATCTACCGGTAACATCAAGCATAAGCGTCTTACTGGCAGCTGTCATGATCGGCTCTGTTCTCCCTTGTGCTTTATTGCTGTTTCATATTTGTAGTGTTCCAGTGCCTTTGGCGTGCAGTTCTGTAGGACACAAACAAAACTTATTTGCAAATTGGAAAAAAAAAAAAGAAAAAAAAGAAAAAAAAAAGTGGGCCAAAAGGAAAGGAAGGGGGCTCCAAAAGGCTGTAAAATTGTGCAGCGTGAGCCCTGTGATGCATGCTGTTTTCAATCTGCTGTGTGCCAGTTGGAGGCTCAGAGAGCGAGCGAGAGAAAGAGAAGGGATAATGCTGAGAAATGATAGAGTGGCTGTGACCTCCAAGCTCTGCTTGGAAATCCAAGACATTGATTT